TCGTGTAAAGTTCAGGAAACGTAAGATAAAAAAATATGTTTTTTTTTTCTTACTTAAAATGTGTTGTCAGTTATCTCACACCCTGAAGAACACTTGTATGAGTAGTACAGTGAAGAGATATCGTTTCTAACTTGCTTAGATTTTTTAAACAATTGGACAAAAAATTCATTGAAAATTGCGCATAAAAACGCCCCCCTTAATTTCATAAATTAGTGTTACGGATTTATACCTCCACGAATACCAAGGTTCGAGTTGCTTAAAAAAATAAAAAATCGAGTAGGTAAATGCCAGTTGATAATACTCGTAAATTGCAATTTTGAAGTATTAGTTTAAAGTGTTAATTGAATTTAGTCACTATTTACCTGCGTCCTAGATATTAAATACCTATTTTAGAATTGAATAAAATAACAAATTATGTAAGTATACTAACTAACTCTTGAAAAAATATTTATGTCATTCTTTACTTCCTCAGCTGCTGCAAAAATTCTTTGAAGAAGCATCTCCACACTATCATTATAGACAAGGCGAAATCGGCGGCTAAGTATGAAAAAATTAGTGGATTTGATTTTTTGCATAATCACCTCCGTGAATCCTCCCATGAGGATCAAATGTTACCGGCCGGTAACCTGGTCACAATTTGTTTAAATTAATTTTTTTTAAACATTTTAAACATTTTTAAACATTTTAAAAATGACTCAATTTTTAAAACATTCATAACGCATTTCTTAGGGTGGTAAAGACCAAATTCTATGGTACTTTTCAATCCGCCATAATGGTTCTCCGCCATTTTGGATTTAAGAATTTTCATATTAAAACCTTATATTCGTGATTAGCTTAGAGCAAGTAACAAGTTTTAGTCATAGAGACCGATCGATTAATCGGCTTCGGCCACATTCGGCCATTAATCGGCCAAGAATTGGCTTCGGCCAAAATTAAGCCGAACTTTTCGCCGAAGCCGAAGGTACCGTCGGGACGCCGCTGGACTTAACAAATCTAATCAAATTAGGGTTAAATTAGCTCCTTAACACTATAANCGAAACGGAAGAAGGGACATTATTTTTGTTAAACTGTATGTAGATAATTAAAATAACAGTTTTTTTTAAAAAATAGTCATTGGCGTAGAAGTTCTGTCTAAGAAAGAGGTTGAGCACCCCCTCCACTCCGCCACTGTGCAAGTTTTTGAACATTCTTATCGCTTGTTTTATGCCACTTAATTAATAGACATTATCTCCCAAACATGAAAAAAATCTAAGCATTCGTTTATAAATTATAATGAAAATTCGAGAAAAAAAAATATATATTCAACACCCTGTATCTCGGAAACGAAGCCTTCTACGACATATGTTTATAGGAACTTTTCTTTTTAAAAACATGTCTTCTATCTCCTGTTAAAGTTTGTCTTCAAAAAACTGACTCACCCTGTATATGCAGAATATGTAGTTAATGCCTTTGAAATATCTACCAATAAAAATTTAGATCTGATACTTATAAGAGAGGACAAGGAACTCCAAACAGCATTGCATCATTCTCACCCAAATCGAGGACACGTGATCGACCAATGCTGCATTCAACATATTGCAATATGTGAGAGATTTAAAATAAAAGAAATATACAGGGAGTCCCAGAATATGTGGGCAATTTCTCGGATTTATACAGGAGACCTTAAAATAACATGACAAATCCCTATAAAAAATTTTCCTAGAGGGCTCCCCTACGGATATACAGGTCCCTAAAAGACGCCACTGATGGACAACAGATAAGACTCCTTAAAAATTGACCCATGAAAACAATATGTCTTATTTGGTTTTCCAGGGACGGACTAGCTACAGCACAATAATGTACATTTTTTACCACTCTATGATAAAGGCACAAAAATAATATTTTTAGATAGCTTGAACCTTAAACTAAAGAAAAGGCCCTCTTGGTTGATATCGATAAAATGAACGGTTTTCGAGAAACTATTTTTGTGATTTTTATTACATCCGCAAAGAGAAATAAACCGATGAAATTTGCATTCTTTCTGTACCTACCTATCTAAAAAGTGCCACTTTTATTTACATTTGTTTTTTGCTAAAAATAATTAAATTACACAAAGTATTTTAAAAGTTATTACAAAAAATCAATTTTCAGGGGAATATTTTAGGGGATGTATCTCCGTAGGAGGGCTATCTAGGAAAAATTTTTATAGGAACTTGTCATGTTATTTTAACGTCCTCTGTAAAAATCCGAGAGATTGCCTACATATTCTGGGACACGCTGTACATTCAACGTACACTCGAAAGTGGACGGTTACACAGATTGGCAGTAAACTCCAAATTAAATATGAACAAAAATAAAATATATAGGGTGATTCATAATGTCATTAATTTTAACCACGTATTCGGCCTAATAAAGGCAGAAAATCAAAAAAAAATTACTCGACCCTTTAGAAATAAGCAAATTACCTCATAACTCCCGTTAATGCGGCGCCGTACTTCCCATCACATTAGCTGACTGGGAACGCTCCGGCGCACCACAGAGTGTTCGAACGTTGAAACGATACAGTTGATTTTCCCAGTCGTCTTAAATTTTGTAATTGGTTTCAAAATCAAAGTGCAGTGGATCATCACTTTGTTGACAACGTGCCATGGACGAATGAGTGAAGTTTTAGCCGTGCTGGCGTTTTAAATATGTAGGGACCATACTACTCTTTGAAAAACAATAAGTCACACAATAAGGTTTACGTATGACTACAAACCGAATAATTAATTGAACATAATACTAAAAACTCATATTCAATTATAAAACAGAGAAAATGTGCAATATAATAAATTCTAAATTGCAATAACCTAACATTCAAAAACAATAATGATGATCGTTATACATTTGGTTTTATTAACAAATAGACAATACTTGTTAATATTTAAAATGTAAATAAGTTCATGTATAAACAGAATTTTTTTAAACCAAGCTTTTAGTGCCACCATGCACTATCCAAGCAAAATTTCAGGTCAATCGGTTGGGTCGTTTCAAAATTCACTTGCAAGCTTTGACTCATACTAACAAGGCAAGTTAAATAAAACCATGTAAAAAATGTTTTAATCATTTATGCGTCTAGGTAAACAGTCTGTCTTTTTCGTTCACTATTAAAAAACACAGTAAAGGTTAAGATTCACTCTCGATAAACCTTTGTAGGTCAGCGGTCAGAAGCGGTCCGAAATGATTTGAAAATATTTGTTTTCAGCGTAAATATTTAATTTTTTTTAATATTCATATTCTACTCATTTTTTGCAATCGTCCTTTAAAACTAATGACATTGTGATTGAATCGCCCTGCATACATTGCATTGTATGTGTAGAATACATTTAGCAAAAAATTGTTATCTGATATCTTATTTCCTTTAAAATTACCACTTTGACGTAAATTATTGTAATTTGATATATTATTTCCTTTGAAATCGCAGTGTTAACAAAAATTGTAACCTGATAGTTTAATTCAGAAACAGTATTTCATAAGTATGGAAAGAAGTTTTCAGGGAGTGAAAAATATAAATTTTGCCTACTTTTACACAAATGACTCAATTTTTAAAACATTCATAACGCATTTCTTTGGGTGGTAAAGACCAAATTATATGGTACTTTTCAATCCGCCATAATGGTTCTCCGCCATTTTGGATTTAAGAATTTTCATATTAAAACCTTATATTCGTGATTAGCTTAGAACAAGTAACAAGTTTTAGTCAAAGAGACCGACCGATTAATCGGCTTCGGCCACATTCGGCCATTAATCGGCCAAGAATCGGCTTCGGCCAAAATTAAGCCGAACTTTTCGCCGAAGCCGAAGGTACCGTCGGGACGCCGCTGGACTTAACAAATCTAATCAAATTATGGTTAAATTAGCTCCTTAACACTATAAATAACACTGCCAAATTACAACAAAATTGGGTAGTGTTTAAAATATTTACGAAATAGCATTTTTTTTATAAAAGATTAACACTGTATTTTGAAAACGAAGCATCTGCGGACCAATGTTTATATGAACTTTTTGTATTAAAATCACTCAAATAATCGTCTGTTGAATTTATTGTACTTACTTAACACACTATATATATTTCCAAAACATTATACATTTATTTTTGACCTACTTTTCTGTTATCTTATCATATTTATGTTATTAATTAAAATTTTCCAAGTCAATAAAAATATCTTCGGCTTCGGCATCGGCTTCGGCCGAAGGTGACCCATAAACCGAAGTTCGGCTTCGGCTTCGGCCAAAAAAAATCACATTCGGTCGGTCTCTATTTAGCCATAATATTCAAATTTTGAATGCTTTTCCGATTTTTACATACGCCATATTGGATCAGGCATCTTTTATTCAGGAATTTTTGGAATCGGATTTCAGATTCGTAATCAGCGACCCCAAAAACCTGCGGTAACAAAATTGAGGCAAAAGTATTGAATAGAAAAATGTGTGGGGCAAGTGGAACCCTAGTCTGTAAATGGTTTCCAATCCTTTGAGGGATAAGTATATTATTATATTTATTTGGTATGTTGTCTTTACTGGTGGTATAAAATATAAGGCTATAATGTATCACATTGTTTTGTACATCTTAGATGCAGAATTAACTAACCCCCTTCTAGGGGTGGGTGTGGATTTAACTTGCATATATTTCTTTCTAATGCTCAAAATATTTTAAAATGTTTTCTAAAAGTATTTACAAATTGTTGCATTTCATTATAAAGTTTTAACATGTCCTCACTATTTCATCCCATTTTTTGGATATTTTAGTTTTACTAAAAAAATTGTCTGGAAAATCGGTTTTTGGACTGAGGATTCGGATTCAACTTATATTGAATATATAAAATCTATGTACTCATGTCTCTGGTACAGATTTTTTTTGTGGGGCTGTATAATCTAAAAACTAAGTGAATTTAGTAAGTGAATAAAGACCTAAACAAATTCTCTTCAACGCTATTAGGAAAAGGAGCAGACATAATTGCTTTAATATGAAAAATACTTACAGTTTCTTCCTGAGGCACGATTTCAAACAATGCATGTTCTGTAAAATGTTGAACCATCCACACATGCAAATCATTAACATCAGTAACTGTATAAACTAACCCTCCTTCAGTTAAAGCGTAAGCATATTCTGCCAATAAATTATGATTTACAATTCTCCACTTATGCTTAGCTTTTTTAAAATGGGGATCGGGGTATAAGAAGAATATTTTCTTCAACTAAAAAAAGAAAACATTTTAATTACATACAACAGGCTTTTTTTGTTTTAGGTAACAATAAATACATTTATATCCCAAGGCAATTTTTCATATATTTTTTTTTAAGAATAATATCTCTGTAATCCGAAAATTATTTCAATATTATGTTGGATTGGAGAGTGATGAAAGAAAGTGTATAGGTTATTTCTTTTCAATGGAGTAACTTTAATATTTAATGCCTTTTTAAACGTTTCGAAAATCCACAACTTTAAAAAAAAACGAAAACTACGCCACAAATAAATAACTTCAGACAATATACTTATAGTCGTCATAAAATTGTTTAGGTTTAAATAAAAAGATCATTTTACGCAAAGCATAATGTCAAGAATTGTAACACGAGAAAGTAATATTTGTAAAAAAAATCGTTGAATAATAAGGAAAAGAGCGAGCCGTCGCGTCGCGCCGCCTGCAATGCCGATGGCCAGCGCGAAATTTTTATTTCTTTTTTCGCCGACTGACGGGCGTTGTCCCATAAAATCGTCAACTGATCATTTTGTTTATGGTTAATATAAGAATTAATACCCTCACAAAAGTATTGAATTAAACGAATTGTCCATTATTTATTTTTTTGTACATACATTGGGGCCGATTGACCAGTTCTTCCCCACATTCAGCTGACTAACATAAGTTTTATTTATATGCAATATAATGAGCGTTCAAATAAAAACGTGGTCAAGTTGGTTCTGAAAATTTGGACGTAGGGCGTAGTGTATAGCAAATAAACTTAAACGTCATCTGTCAAAGCGCTATATCGCCCTATCAATTTGAATATTTTCGTTTTAAAAAGCGTTTAAAATGGTGTTTTCTCAAGAACAAAAAGTGTTTATTATAGAGTCCTACTTTAGAAAGTGCAGTTCAGCGTTGTGTTAATGTTTTTCGTGAAACGGGCAGTGTAACAAGAAAAGAAGGAAGCGGCCGACCTAAAAAGCGGACTGAAGAATTAAAAGAAAATGTCCAACAAATAATGGAAAATGCGCCAAGAACTTCTGTAAGTATGTGTTTTATCACAAATGGTGGGAGTATCAACACAGATTTTCTAACAGGTAATAAACAAACTCAAGCACTTCAGAACTTTTTCCTGGAGTATAACATTATACCAACTATAAATACACCGACAAGAGTTACTGGTCATAGTAGTACATGTATACAGGGTGTATTTAAATGGAGGGGCACAAATGATACCTGAGATTCCTTGGATGAAAATAAGTCGATTTAACCTAACATACCTATATCCCAAGTCGCATAATAAAAAAGATACAGGGTGTCAAAGTGAAAAATAAAAAATGGTTTTTTCTTAATAATTTTTATAATTTTAGTTAGAAATGTTTCAAATTTTTAACAGAGGGGTATTTTAATGATGGGAAAAATAATATAATAATGATTCTTTAGTGTCGAGTACGAGGCGCCCTCTGCAGGCAACGTTATGTACTGAATATATAGTAACTTATTTGCCAACCCCCGTATACAGCTTTTAGTAACAAAATATGAAATATTGGACTTTTTTGAACAAAAAAGGTATACTTATTGAAAAAGGTTAAAGCCAACCGTTGAGGAGATATTTTTAATTGGGACAATATTGGGAGTTGCTCATTTAAAAACCTCAAATATTCGGCTCNGGTTATTTCTTCCTCTTATTCCCTTATTTGCTGCTTTAGGCGCTCTCGGGAGCATAGGAGGAGGGGCTGCAGGGCTAGCAAAAGCTATGAATGATGCAAAAGCGGCCAAAGAAAAGTTGGAAGAAGATAAACGTCACAATTTGACAATGGAACGCGTTGCTGTTGGAAAAGGGTTATACCTACGACAGTATAGAAAAGGAATGGGGTTATATCTAGCTCCATATAATAATATCGGGAGTTTTAGAAATGCGATTGGGGCTTTCGACAGTAATAAGTACTGTCTGGAAAATGCAGATGTTAATATAGCATTCAATCAATTCTATGATGATGTCAAACACGCATTTATGTAAAACTTCCCACTCATAAAAAGAAAGCAAATGAAAAATAGAAATAATAAGCCATGGATTACAAATAAAATACTCTTGTTGGGAAATATGATTAAAGAAATGCATCGTATAAATAGCTCAATTAATAACGCAGATTACAGACGTAGATATAAAGAACTACGAGACTTCTATCGGAAAAAATTAAAAATAATCCAAAAAAACATATAATGATAAGAGATTAAGAGAAGCTACCAATATAAGTAAAGAAAGTTGGAAAATAATTAACCAAAATAAAAAAAGTTGCCCTAATAAAATAAAACAAATAATATATGAAAACAAAAAAGTAACAAGTAACTATGATATTTTGAAACATTTAATACATATTTTGTTAACATTGCAAATAATAGCGATCTTCCGAGTCTAACGGTTCCAGACTTACCTTTTGGTACAACAACTTTATTTTTAAATCCTAGACCCAAACAAGGTAGAAAAAACTATGATAAAAGTTTGTAACAAAAAAATCGGCAGGAATTGATGATATACCCGGAACGGTACTCTTATCGATAAAAAAAGAATTAGCACCTGTTTTGTCTGACTTAATTAATCTGAGTTTTTTGCGCGGTATTTATCCTGATTCTTTGAAAGCCTCTAAGGTTATTCCAATATTTAAAAATAAGGGAAATACGCAAAGTGTTGAAAACTATAGACCAGTAGCATTGCAATGCCATATTGCTAAAGTGTTTGAATATTGCTTTAATGCAAGACTGAGCTCGTTTTTGGAGAAATACGAAATACTCTCACCATGTCAGAACGGTTTTCGAGTAGGTCACTCAACCCATACGGCTCTTGATGATGTCTTGCATCATATATGTAATGCACTAAATAATAAGGAAGTTATATTAGGCTTGTTTTTTGACATGACTCGAGCTTTTGATTCCGTGGATCACCAACTGCTGTTGGAAAAATTACATTTAATGGGCATTAGAGGTCCTGCCAATAATTGGATTAAATCATATTTGACAGAGAGAACGCAGCAGGTTGTGATTGATGGCGTCAAATCATGTCCAAAACAGATAAATAAAGGCACTCAAGGTTCCTGCTTGTCCCCGACATTATTTAATTGTTTTATTAACGATTTACCTTCTTACGACATTGCCAATAATAAATTTTTAATATATGCAGATGATACTAACGTATTAATTTCTGCAAAAAAAAGAAGCGAAATTCCACAATGTGCGTCCGGCGGGATAGAGCGCGTAGTGAAATGGTGCGGAGATAATGGCATTAAGCTGAATGCAGCCAAGACCACAGCGGTGGAATTCCGTACAAAAAACGCTACTATAGATGACAGTCTATTGCTTAGGGTAGAGGGAAAATCAATTGAAAATGTTGCG